TTCTTAAAACCACACTTAACACTTTGTAACCTTACTTCATTCATGACAAATAAGAGATGAAACAGTGTCTTAAGTTACCAAAAAAACCCACTGGGAGCTAACATGGAGTTTTATGGGAAGTAAGCAGGTCACTGGTTAAGTCTGAGTAGCAACTGGTTTATAACAGTACCTACCTTAAACATGGCATATGCTGTTATTGCGTTTCCACTCTGGGAATTTTTAAGGATGTTTACCACACTGTCAGGTAACCCAATGAGTTCCAGAAAAGGAACGACGTTCACTCCTCTATGAAAAAAACAAAAAGTAATTTACATATGTACAAACTTTTAAGGATATTTTCAAAAATTATCTGAAAATACCCAAACCACACTTTACTATAATTTGTATTAAGTTTTGTTTCTATCATTTGTATTAATGAAATTTTGTTTAAAAGTTGATTCTGCCTTTAGTTTCACTCTAAGAGAATATCTTACTTGATGTACAACATCAAGATGCACAAAGACATCCCTGGCGTGTTGTCTCTTACAGCTTGCAACTTCTGGTTTACTTCTGCGCGGGGGCGTCCTAGTTAGTATGTTTAGGAAATGGAAGCACTTACTGGAACAAAATTAATAGCTCTAAGTAAACTATAAGAAAAGCATCAGAATCATTTGCTTGATCTTAGTTTCCTCAACCAAATACTACTTCCTTAGAAAATTTCAAGACCTACGATTTTTACCTTTAAAATCACACTGTAAAAGCAAGGGATATTTTAACATCCCTTATTATGTTATTATGCAAAGAATAAATGATTCTATGGGCTTGATGAAAACTTCAATTATTCCAAAAGGATGCTACTATTAACACACTAAAAAGGCAGGTAAAGAAGTAATAACCATAAATTGCAATAGATTTTTAGAAGCAGAAAGAGAAAGCAGAGAGGTCTCCGACCTGAGCTGTTACGCCCTGATTTTTTTCAGTTTCCAGATTATTGACATTTAGCCACAACGGCTCTTGCTCTCCCACTTGCGCACTCACTCTCTCTCTCACTGGGTGTAGTTTTGCAGACATTGTGACCCTTCACCCCTAAATCTGAACAAGGACATTCGCCTACATAAACATAATTATCACATTTAGGAAATTTAATATACATAATAGTATATATATTAAGTTAATACAATAATACATTATTTAAAATCTCATCTAGATCAAAATTCCCCACATTGTCTCAGTATGTCCCTTATTGCTATTTTTCCTGTCTTTCTAGTCTCCTTTCCTCTGTAGGTTCTTCCCAGCACTTTTTTTGGGAAGTCAGGATGTCTTTCTTGATATTGAGACTTTTGAGGCATCCACACTAGCTGCCTGGAAGGACATCTCTCTCTCTCTTTCTCTGCCTTTTAAATTCTACCCTTCTCTTTTGATATGTAGGACACTTCTCAATGTGAGTTTGTCTGATGATTTCCTCACGATTAGATTCAGGTTAAATATTTTCCCACAGGAAAATGACTCGGTAGATGCTGTGTCTGTCATCACAACAGGGGTCACACAGGCCAGTCTGTCCCATCCTTGGTGTTACTGAGTTCGGTTAAGGCAGGGCCCCCAGGCCGCTCCACTGTACATGTATCTTTCCCTCCGTCATTAAGAACGGTAACTGCCTGGATCCATTATTATTATGCTAGCTCTGAACTCTTATTTATTTTTAATATTAAAAAATAACTTGGTTACCTGGGGAAGTGTGTCCCTCTCTGTGATTTTACATTACACTATGCAATAAGGCAGTAGACATGGCTGACCACCAACAAGAAAGAACTATTAAAATGACCTATTATCAAAAATAAGAGGAAACCAGAACTACTTAAGAGATCTTTAAAGAGGTACATTTAAAAATCAACAGAGTCCAATCTGGTTTTTTCTATCTCCACCTTGAATTATTTTTCAAATCTTTTCCTAGATAACAACAGAATCCCATTAAGGTAAGGTTCAGTATTACAGAGTTAGCTATTCTCTGGATCTAATGAAGTCACTAAAATAACTACACAAGCTACCATCTTGCCATAACAGGCCACTTACATCTTCTAGTACCAATTATGAAATCATTTCATTAATCATTTCCTAGTTCCAACTAGGCCCAATATATAAAATCTATATTTAACAGTAATTGTGAAGAAAAAAGATGAACATCTGGCCAAATAAAAAAGTGAGTGATTAAGAAACCCCCTTTATCATAAAGATCAGACAATGGTGAACTCAGACACCATGCACAAGCTATAACAACATCATTGGCTCATATCCTAGGTAAGCACCTAGTTCTACTTATTTCTAAATTGTTGACTGGATGACTTGACTTTAAAAGTAACTTCCATTTCCTTTGGAACGGCTAAACGTGAAGCATTGGTGAGGGTCTGATTCAAAAAGAAACATACACTGTCCCTTTCTACTTTGAAGTTCTCATGGACAGACAGGTACCCGCGCTTCACAAGCCGCCAGCTTTACGGATGTGTCAGCAGATGCCAGACACACAGGGGCCAAAGCACGTTCACTGTCTGGATAAAGTGCAGTAAAAGTCAGTCAGGATTGAGCTCAGAGTGGATCTGTAACTTGAGGCCCCAAACACAAGGCATCTAAACGCAGGGACAACACTGTCATTATGAGCCACATTTGAGTGAACAGAGCACTCTGGTCAGAAGACATAAGATCTCTGTAAGCCTCTGCCAGACAGGCACAGTAACAAAGCTTAGTTTAAAATAAAACCTATTAGCATGCACGATTTAGAACTCCCTGAAATAAAATATTTCAAAAGCCTGAGAACTTTATCACTGAATTAACTAAATATAGAATGACATTTTGCTCTATGGTGCCTAGAAAGGCGGTAATGTGAGTGTCGGAGTAACTAAGACAAACACTGGTCAGTAATGCAGCATGATGTCCAATGCCCATCCTTCCAGCTACGAACTATTTTTTTCCCTTTCTTTTAATAGTAAGTAGGCAAAAGCAAATAACAGAGATCTCTTTCCAGCCAAAAAAAGGGAAAAAAAAGCTAAAATAGAACTAGCCTCTTGTCAATTGAATTAAAAACTTGTATTTAATACAATCAACTTCAATTTTACAATAAAATCACCTCACAGTGACAGATACACTGCCATTCAAACATATCCTAATTCCTTTTTTTAATCCATGAGTTCTATTTTCTAATTATTACTTATGATTAAGATCTTCACTTAAAACCAATCAACTTTCAATTTTCTACGTATTAAAGATCTAATAAAGACACTGAGGAGGACTGTCGTGGGAAGCAACCTCTCCTGTGTAATATAAATTAGCTGTGTGATGCTGGGACAGGATTGGCCCAGTGGTCATGGCTGGGCAGTAGTGGGGGTCTGGCAGCCAGGTCCCATGCTGAAAGAGAGCCCCAAAGCAAGTTGTGATGGATAAGGGGTATGATTTTAAAGTGCATAATCTTACTGCCATGTTGACACATAAGTATTCTGCAGAAAAAGAGAGGGAAGGAAAAAACTAAGAAAGCTGCATTTCATAGGGGATAACAGAATATCACCCACAATTGCCTGAGGTCCCAGGCAACAGTGAAAAAATCTTCAGTATAATTAATATCACTAGATTACTTGGGGGTCTGCTTTTTTAGTTGCAGACTTCTATAGATATTAAACATGTCCAGAAAATGTCCCATTAATAAACAAAGAAATAATTCCATAAAGTATGCACACAAGTATCTTCTGCAAGGAAAGGTTGAATCCTTGAAGAAAATCATACACAATGAAGAAGGATATAACTGAGTAACAGGAACATATGGAAAGATATGAAAAGAAACAGTGGCATCAATTATACAAGATGAAAAAAATACTTTTATAACTTTCATAAAGAAATCTTTGTAATCCTGTTTCCCAAGAATAAATACAGTCTTCATCCCATCATCCTGGGATAGGTACTTTAAACTTGGTAATAAACTTCATCCAAGGAGTGAGCTTTATATACAAAACTACATCATATTTAATATCAAGCAGTTAAATATAATCAAGCACTGAAAAACACTGCACTTTGGAGAGAATAAAATAATTCTAAGTCTACTAGAAGAGTATACTGAAGTGTCAAAGCCATTCACGTGGGCACTAGGCCTCCTAGAGGCAGAAATGGGGAGTCACTGGTACTCCTGCTCCTAAAGCAGCGTGAAGAAAATAACTTACCTTGAACAGAAGAACAACATTTAAGAAGATGCATTTAGAAATTTTATATTTCACAACACTGGAAGGCTAGGCCCACCAAATTTAGTTCTCATCAGAACAAAAGACCTTATCTTGACGTTTATTTGACATGAATAATATCAAAGTATAACTGGTCTATTTTTGAGTCTACAACAGGTATTAGCCAGGTTTTAGCAAAAATATCTTATGAATCTCCCCCCAAAACCTTATATGGCAAAATAGATTTAAGAAATATTATTATAATGATGGAGCTCACGGCACTGCCAAATCTCTAAATGTGACATTTTATTTCTGTGCTCTCCTGCATGTTGAGATGAGAGCAGCACAGTGATGAGGAGCACGTGATTCAGATCACACAAACCCAGCTGGGTTTCTAGTCCAGGCTCCACCTCTTACCAGCTGAGTTATTCTTACTTCTCCTTGCCTAATCTATTTTCTCAATCATAAATGGGTAAAATTATACTACTTGCTTCATATGGTTGCTGTGAAGATAACTGGAGATAATACAGTTAAAAAACTCAGCGAGATGCCTGCTGTACACAGTAAGCAAATGTTAGCTATTAGTATTAAAATGTGAAAAAAAGTTACGAAAAGCAGCTATTAATGAAAGATATTAAAGCATTTAAAAATCTATTTAAGGCTATCATTAGTATACTAACTAAGAAGATTAACATTCTGATAAAACAGGGAAAGGCATTCAACCAAGCAAAAACTTACTTTAGGGCTGCATAATAAAATGTTCCAAACCAAACACAAGAAGTTATTAGATGCACTGGAATCAAAACTTTTCCATATTGTCTAAATGTTTTCTTAAATCGCTGATACAGACTAATAGATTTGTCTTGTAAAGGATCAGGCTCTTCCTTTTTTTCCGGAGTTCCTTGGGCTGGGGCACTGGAAGATAAAACCCTCTTGGATAAAACATCTTGCTTCCACTGTTTATGGTGAAGGACCGCAGGACGGGGTGGATGAGCTTCCCAGGGCCTCCTTTCCATTGCAATACACTGGGCGGCAGATAAGTGCAACCACTGTCTCTGAGGGCCTCGAACCAAAACGGCTTTGGATTCAGCATTATGCAAAAGTAATGGTCCGTTTATGTTTTGACAGTGTCCAAAAACACCAGCTTTATGTGGTTCTAAGCATGTCCTGTGTGCCAGTCGAGATGCAGCCCGTGGTATATTCCATTGCATTTTGAAGAATGGTGATAGATTTCAGCTTCTATAGAGACTAATTCAAAAAAAATTAGATAATACATAGGTTTCCATTTTAAACCAATCCACTTAAAAATCAATCATTAACTATTAGGAAGTAAAAGGACAGACAGTGCTACATAACTCACAGAAATTAATGTTAAGGTACACAGTTTTGACACACCATAATTTTAAAATTTCACTAAAACCCATTATTTAAATATGATATGGTAAACCAGTCCAGCAGACATCATGGAGGGTAATGTTTTGAGGCTATTTTATAACCACAGAAGGGATATTTGTAGGGCTTCTGTTACTTTACAAAGAAGCAGGATAGTATAGTGGAATAAAACCTAAGATCTGGTTTCTGATGTTTTGGGGACACAATTCCATGCAATTCCCTTTCAGACACCAAACCCAAGTCAACTAGTAAAATGAGGGTTACTTCACAAGGCTGCAATAGGAATTACATGAAATTTCTGAGGTAAAGGTGCTTTTGTAAACTAATAAGCACCACACAAGTATTATTATTACAAATGTTAAGATCTTATGAATAGTTGATATCAATATCATTTATTCTATGCTGCCTTTAGACTAAGTTATATAAAAGTTGTAAGCCACCTACATCACTGAATAGTCAGTGAGAAGAAATAGCCTCGTATTTATCTCCCTTTTTACCCCATATCCCAGGTAGAGAGAAATAAAAGTATACAGCAATGTTTCGTTATTTGTTTTGGTGTCATGTGGGATTAAGAATTACAAGATAGCAGGGTGCAGTAGCTCATGCCTGTAGTTCCAGCTACTCAGGAGGCTAAGGCAGGAAGATCACTTCAGCCCAAGGAGTTTGAGGCTGTAGTGTGCTATGACCATGCCTGTGAATGGTCCCTGCACTCTAGACTGGGCAACAAAGCAAGACCCTATCTCTTAAAGAGAATTATAAGATAAATTAGAGACTTTCTCAGATATCTAAAACTTTGTTTCAAAAGACAATATAATGTAATTTTTAAAGAATGTGGACTTTGGAATAAGATAGACCCAACTGAGTTAACAGTATTATTTTGAACAACTTAATCTCTCTAAACACAGGTTTTCCCAGTGGTAGATGTAACTATAGTAGTCATTACTATATAGTAAACCAGTTCCCTTCCCTCAACATCAGGAGGCACTACATGTCCCCCAACCTCATCCCCACCCCAGCTACCTAACTACTTCTAACATGTTGAGAACAGATTATCTTATTTCTTTTAATCATATACTAAATAAGAGTCAGTAAGGTTTGAATTAGCACCCCGATAAATTAGTACTCCAGTAAATACAGATACTACATTATAAACGAATATTCACTTTCTGGGGTACAAAGTTGACTGGAGAAACAAAAACTGTTATCATATAAAAACATCTATCAATGAATTATCCACCCATAAAACTAATCACCTGTTTCATCCCTCTAATGAATAATTAACATCCGCTCCTATCAGACTGTCACAGATAATTCAATACACAATGCAAATGAGTTGCTAAGTGACACTGTAAATCTTGCAAAATAAACAGGCACCCAGGGAGCCTTTAAAAAAGTGATACTGGATTGGACAACATGTGATGTAGTAGGAAAAAAAGGAACACTGGAGATTAATTTCAGACAAAGCAGACTTCAGAAATTCTTTGATTACCAGTGATAAAGAGAGTCATTTCATAACAACATAAAAATAATGAAAATAAGATACAACAATCCTAACCATGTATATACCTAAGAAGAGAGCATCAAAATAAATGAGGTAAGAAGTGACAGAACTGAAAGAAGAAATCAACAATTCCACTTTTATAGTTAGAGACTTCAACACCCCTATCAGGTACTGACAGATGCAGCAGGCAGAAAAGTCAATAAGGATATAGTTAAACTAAACAACAATATTAATCAACTTGATCTAATTGACATTTATAGAACATTCCATTCAACAACAGCAGAATACACATTCTATTCAATTTACGTGGAACATTCAACAAGACAGACCACATTGTGGGCCATTAAATATAATTTAACAAATTAAAAGAATGGAAATCATGCAAAGTATGTTCTCAAACTACAATGGAATTAATCTAGAAACCATTAACACAAAGATACCTGGAACCACCACCCTCCCCCCACCCCAAGTATCTACAAATTAAACAGCATACTTCTAAAAACCACAGGTCAAAGCTAGGCAGGATGGCTTGTACCTGTAGTCCCAGCTACTTGGGAGGCTGAGGTGGGAGAATTGCTTGAGCCCAGGCTTTAAGGCAGCAGTGAGCTATGATCGTGCCACTGCACTCCAGCCTGAGTAACAGAGCAAGACCCTACCTCTAAAGATAAAACAAAAATAAAACTACTACAGGCCAAAGAAGTCTAAAAAGAAGTTTAAAAATATTTAAGTAAATGAAAATAAAAATACAACTTATCAAAGTTCATGGGATGCAGCAAAAGCAGTGCTTAAGGAAAATTCCTGGCTTTGAATGCACGTGTTAGAAAAGAAGAAAGATTGAAACTTAATAAGCAGAGCTTCCTCCTTAGGAAACCAGAGAAAGAAGAACAAGCAGAAGAAGTAAATCTCTAGCGAGGCTAAGAGGGAAAACAAATAATGAATGTCAGAAATGAAAGAGGGGCATAATTACTGATCTCAAAGATAATAAAAAAGAAATAAAGGAATACTATGAATAACTAACTCTATGCCCATAAATATAACTTAAATGAAACAGACCATGTCCTCAAAAGACACAAACTACTAAAACTAACACAAGGAGAAATAAAAGACCTGAATAACCCTACATTTACTAAAGAAATTGAATCAATAATAACCTTTCAAAAAGAGAAAACACCAGGCCCAGGCAGTTTCACTAGTAAATTTACCACACATTTAAGGAAGAAATAATACCATTTCTCCACCATCTCTTCCAGAAAATGAAGGCAGAGGGGAGACTTCCCAACTCATTCTATGAGGCCAACATTACCCCTAATACCAAAACCAGCTAAAAATAATCCAAGAAAGGAAAACTTCAGACCAGTATCTCCCATGAACATAGAAAGCAAAAATCTTCAACAAAATATTAACAAATCGAATCCAACAACACCTAAACACAATCATACGCCCTGACCAAGTGGAATTTAATCCAGATATGCAAGGGTAGTTCAACATTTGAGAATCAGTATAACCCCACCATATTAACAGGCTAAAAAAAACCTGAAGGAGCAAAAGCATTTGGCAAAATCCAACTCCCATTCATGACTAAAAAGAAAAAAAAAAAAAAAAGCTTTTCAGCAAACTAGGAGTAGAGGGGAACTACTTCAATTGATAAAGAACATCTACAACAAATCTACAACTAAACTCACACTATACTTACCGGTATGAGACTAGACACTTTCCCCCTAAGACTGGAACAAGGCAAAGAAGATCTGTCTCACGACTCCTATTCAACACTGTACTGCAAATCATAGCTAGTGCAGTAAGACAAAAAATAAAAATAAAAAAGGATATATAGTGGAAAGGAATAAATAAAACTGTCTTTATTTGCATATGGCATGATTGTCTATTTAGGGTATCTAAAAGAATCTATAAAAAGTCTTTTTGACTCCTGGAACTAATAAGCAAATATACCAAGATTATAGGCTACAAGGCCAATATACAAAAGTCAACTGCTTTTGTATATACTAGCAATGATATATAGGAATTTGAAGTTAAAAAAAACAATACCACTTATAATAACACCAAAGAAAAATAACACCTTAGGTATAAATCTAACGAAATACCTATAAGATCTATCTATCTATATATATATGAAAAACTACAAAACTCTGAAAGAAATCAAAGGTCTAAATAAATGGAAAAATATTCCATGTTCATGAACAGAAAGACTCACTACTGTTATCAGTGTTTATCAATATGAACTACAGATTCAACATTAAAATTGCAATCAAAATCCTAGCAAATATTTCTTACATGTCAACAACCTGATTCTAAAGTTTATATGGAAAGTCAAAATTTCCAGAACACCCAACTGAAGAAGAACAAGGACTGACATTTGTTGGTAGACTGATACTACTAGACTTCAAGACTTACTATAAAGCTGCAGTAATCAACATAGTGCAGTACCGAGAAAAAAAAAAACACACATAGATCTTTGACAAAGGAGCAAGACAATCTGAAGAAAAAAAGGGTAGTTTTTTTTTCCCTTGTGGTGCTGGAACAACTGGATATCCATATGCAAAAAAATTAACCTAGATATGGACCTTATAATGCCTTACATAATTTAACTCAAAATAGACAATAGGCCTAAATGTAAAATGTGAAACTATAAAATTTCTAAAAGAAAATTTAAGTGATCTTGGGTTTGGCAATGACCATTTAGATACACCACCAAAAGCATGATCCATGAAAGAAAAAGTTGATGTTGGACTTCATTAAAAACAAAAATGTCACTCTGTGAAAGACACTGTTAAAAGTGAAAAGACAAGCCACTAATTAGGAGAAAAGGACTTGTATTCAATACAGTCACGGGCCACATGAGGACAGTTTCAGTCAGTGATGGACTGCATAGACGAGGGTGGTGCCATAAGATAAAGGAACTGAAAAATTCCTATCGCTTAGTGATACTGTTTAGTACACACTGCACATACAATTGTGTACAGTACACAATACTTGATAATAAATGATGTTACTGGTTTGTGAATTTATTATACTGTACTTTTGGTCATTATTTTACAGTGTATTCCTTCTAGTTATTAAAAAAAATAGTTAACTGTAAAACAGCCTCAGGCAGGTACTTCAGGAGGTATCTAGAAGAAGGTATTGTCATCATAGGAGATGACAGCTCCATGTGTTACTGCCCTTGAAGACCTTCCAGTAGGACAAGATGTGGAGGTGGAAGGCAGTGATACTGAGGATTCTGACCCTGTGTAGGCCTAGGCTAATGTGTGTGCTTCTGTCTTAGTTTTTAACAGGAAAGTTTAAAAAGTAAAAAAAAAGATTAATCTTAACAGTAAAAAGCTTACAGAATAAGAATATA